CACTCCGGCACCTTCCAAGGTAGGCATTGTGGTGTTTTTTGGCATTCTGGCCAAAAAATATTGCCTACCCTGGTATAGAGAATACAGAAGAGAGCTTATTATGAAATGGGGGGAGACTACAACCAAGTTCTTCCAAAAAAAAAAGAAAGTGCAGTAGAGCAGAAGGAGGTAGAGAATTCTGAACTTCTTGGGAAGATTTTGGTCTAAATCAAAAGAACTCTCAAGAGCAGAGAAATGTGTGTAGGTCTCTATATTATTTCTACTGCTAGTTCAAGTAGAGCGTGGTTGTTTATTGGACCTTACTAATAAATCTGTGAGCCTTTTTGCTTGCTCTAGCACTTATCCTGGAATAGATGACTGGGAATCCTGGAATGCGGGAACTGGGCCTGAGGTAGCTGGGCTGCAGTGTCCCTTTTCCACGAAGCGATTGCAGATTCAATCTGTACCAGCGAGCTTAGAACCATGGGTGATATTTGGTACCCGGTGAGATGCATGGAAATCTAAAGCAGTGGCCTCAGAAAGTTGGGACCTGAGAACTAGCAGCCTGCTTTGTTGCAAGGAGAGGTGATCTACCAGTGCTTTGTAACAGCAATTAAAAATGGAAAATGGTTTTCCACAAGAGAATTTACTTTCTCTGGTGCTTGAACTCAAGGGCCACCAGTTATAAATGACTTCAGCTATTTGTTAAAGAAACACACAAAAGAAAAAGCTTTGTGTCAATTGGTGTTGCATTAAGTAAAAAGGGCTGCTGCGTAAGCAGGTAGGAGATGGTAATTGCTTAGAAGAGACCACTACTCTGTAGTTTGGTAAATGGCAAATTTTCAGAGCCTAAATAAGGACTTAAACTAAGATTGCCCAATTTTGGATTTTTAGATAGATGGTTAATTTAAAAGGAACTTTATTTTCAAAGACCTCCTAAACCCTTTCCTGGGTGGCATATGCATGTTGCACAGTAAAATGGCATGCATTTGAGTGACCTATGGTGAGAGAAATTTGAGTTTGCTATAGGGAGAAAAAAAATAATTAAGCAGAAGTGGAGGGTGGGGATAGGATGTTCCCTCAGGAGATGATCTGCCCTACTTTCTTTTCTCACAGTCTGAAATCCATGAATCTTTTACTTGCTTTATCACTTTTCCTGATTCCCTGCAGGCCAACACTGACAGCTAAGCCTCTGTTTTATCTTAAACTGTTCAAACTTTGTCGGAAAATGACTTACCCTGCTGTGTTTGAAAGTGGCTACATGATTGCAGGAACCCACCTACTGGTTACTTGAGGTCCAGGTGATTGCCATTGTTTGAGTGAAATCATAATGTCAGTGCCAGAGCAGCTGGTGGATTGTTAAAATATGTTCTTATACAGCTTCCAATAGAAGACCAGGAATTTTAAACGGTATATGTGTATTTTATTCAGTCTAAAACTCTTATTCAGCTCCCATGACACTGTGGTATTAACAGTGTAAGAAAAGTATTAAGTAAAAACTCAGTCATATTATTAGGGCTACTTCTGAGTATAAGCAGTCATGCAGTTTGCCTTGTTTGTTCATTTTATGGTCTTTATCCACTTCTGTCAAACACAGCTGCTTCCAACCCATTCTGTTTTTAAACTGGTGGAGTAATGCAAATCAGCTTTACTGCTATAGTCCAAACAATTAGAATGTGCAATTTTTGATAAAATACAGACATTAAGTGATAATTCACCTCTAAAAATGAGGTTCTATTGGAGTTAATATTGTAATATCCCTTTTTTAGTGGCTTTTACTTACACTGGAGCATAATAGACTTTGAGGATATTTTTATTACAAAACAAGATAAATGGACGCAAGAATGGTAGCTGTTTCTATTTAGTCTGCGTATCTTGAAATGATAATACTCATATAATGCTTTTCATCTCCTGAATGCTTTACAAGCAACAATTTCTCCCTGTTATAATCTCTGAAAGTGGCTACATAAGCAAATACAATTATTCCCAAATTATAGATGTGAAAAGTGAGGCCAAGGGGTTATATAATCTAGGTCAGCGTGTGGGGTGGGTACCCCTCTTGCTTGCTTCTAGTTACACTAGTAGGCTAGGGACAGACATTCAAAAAGCCAGAGCCTGAATTGATTCAGCCTTTGCAGGTTAGTCTAAACTGCAGAGAGTGAACCGGTTTGAAACAGAACAGACCTGCGGGCAGATGCCTGCAGTTGCTCAGGCCAGGAGCTGGGGGCACTAGAATGCACCCTTGGGTGCAGGGAAGCTGTGGGGAAGACAGCGTGGACAGTTTGGTCTGAACTGGCCACAAAGGGGTTTAATTCCCCTCTCGCTGTCTCACCAGCAAGGACCCATGCCAGATTTGCTGGTTGCTCCCCCTTCCTGCTGCAGCACTGGGCACCACGGCCCTTGAGGCAGAGGGGGAAGGGGAGGGGTTAGTTTCCCTTCTACCCCTACTGGCAGCTGGGGTAGAGGGGAGACTGATTCCCTGCAGTGCTGTCCCCTCTGTGGAAGGGTGGAGGGAAGGGGAATTAAACCCCTTCCTGGCCAGACCATTGCCCCTGCCTGTCCCTGTACTGACTGGGGAGCAGAGGGATGGGACCAGCCTGGCTGGGCTGGAGCAGAGACCCCAATCCAAAGAGCACACCGGGATGCTGGGGGTCTCTGGCTTATCTTAAACTAGTTTCAGCCATTCTGAAACTGGTTTATGTGCACTGAATGTCTGTTCTGTTACAAGTTTAAACCAGTTTCTGATCACTTAAACCGGTTTATGTGTAATTTCTGTCCCTAGCCCTGTAGGAGAGCACCGTATGTGCAGGATTTTGAGAGTGGTGTATGTATTTTAATTTAGCTTAAATTTATTGACAGATTCAATAAAAGTTGTAAGCCAAAAGAGCAGTTTAGTTTTGTATGATACACAATAGGTCCTTGTTTTGGCTTAACAAAGGTGCATCTCTCCCCTGCCCTGCACCTGAGTGCAGGTAGCAATGCAAAATTTGCATATGCCTCAAGTAATGTGCTTCCCCCTGCCATAAATGTTCCCACAGGGTCTGATCCTGCTGAGTTTCCCTTGCAATGTGCTAAAATACCACTCAGGACAATGGGACTGGATAGCACCTTTTTGTATTTGGCACATATTATATAATAATCTCTAGGTTACGCTTTCAAAATGCGTGGTATGATCACTTTTTGAGTGGATGCGCAGTCATATATTTCCTAAGTGACCTCAAACAAGTTGCTTCCTATCTCTATACCTTCATTCCCTAGTATTGCACAATACAGATACTAATTTTCCTCTTTTGTTTGGGTACTGTAAAGAAACACTATTATCTGAGTGCCACAATTGAAACCAATACTGAGAGTCATATTGGTACACAGACAGATCTACCAACAGGTAAATGAGGGCCCTGGTGATGAACAGAAGTAGGAAGCCACAAGTCACTACAAGAGATATTACTTTTGCAAAATTAAAATTATATGCCATAGTACATGAATAATAGCTGCCATTGCTGCTTCTGCATGGTTGCAATATAGGGACATTTCTCATCAGTACTGCTACTAATGCAGCAGGATTTTAAACAGAATGGCTTTCATTCAGTGAGTGATCACATGAAATAAAAAAAATGTATATTATAATATTTCTCCTCTCTCTCCCTCTCCCTCTCCCTCTTTTCCATCTCCCCTTACAGCTCGTGGCCAATGCTATCCTTTTTGTCAGCGTGAACCTGTATGGGGTTTTTGTGAGGATTTTAACAGAAAGGGCTCAGAGGAAAGCATTTCTTCAGGCCAGAAACTGCATAGAGGACCGGCTGAGGCTGGAGGATGAAAATGAAAAACAGGTCAGTTGTAAATACTCACATACTTTATCTCCTCTTTCTTTGGTATCATTGTAGTTAGAAGAGTATGCTTTTTCGGTGCAAATCAGAGAATTTCCCTACCCTTACTCTTCCCCCCCCATACTAACACCTTCTCCTTCTGCATTTTACTTCTTATCTGCAACAAAAATGCAAAGTGCAGGGTCACACCCTCAGCTTACTCTATTAAATTACAGCAACATATGCCACCTGAAGGTTTTGTCCACAAGTTAAGAACATGCCATGACAGAATATAGGCCCTGACCCTGCCAAATATGTAGGTGCATGTGTAGCTCAAAACTCTGGAGTTTTCCTATTTCAGGAAATGGCCTTATTCCTATGGTTGAAATTTGTGAAGGAACTTACCATGCTGAACTGGTGTAGCTGACTAGATATGTTTCTGAGATGTAAAGTATATCATGTTATAATAAAGGAGGGTTTATCTTTCCTTTACCTCTCCCATCTCCTCCTCCCCCGCCCAACAGGAAACAACAGCAAACTTTGGATGGTTGGATTAAAAAAAAAATGGAACTTGGATAAATATTCTGTTCTGTGATGTGCTTTTGAAGATAAAAACCAACTGACAAGGGAACCAATTTTCAAAGGCATAAATTGGAGTTAGTTGGTTAAGTTTTACTGAAATTCAATGAGAGTTAATCTATTTGTGCTCACATAAGTTCTCAAAACTAACTTCCATGAATTCTGCCCATCTCTAGTTTCTAACTTGATACAACCTATTTTTATTTATAGGGAAGCTAAAAAGCAAATGCGAGAGAAAACGTTTACCGTGCATAGTCTACCTAGAAACCATGAAAGTATTTTTATAAATTGGTCTGAAACTACATATAGTAGATTCACTTCTTCTCAGTAATATCATATTTGCAAAAGGTATTATGATTCAGTTACCAGGATGCAGCACAAAATCTATATTGTTGCAATGGTGAAATGCTTTGATTAGCAACATACAGTATCCTTAAACAATTACTCTTGCTCTTAAAATAAACTGGAGCACTTCAAAAACCAGGGGAGAGGTGGGCAACAAGACCTGATTACAAGCTACTGTATTCTGATCAGGTCACTGTGGTCTAATATAATTTAAGTTTCCATTTGATAACATAGAGTTCTGGTTGACACATGAGTTAGTCCCAATGAGATCATAAGAATTGTTGAAAACTTTGGAGGTGAGGTTATATTTAAGAGGATCAAAGGACATTACTCAACTATTTTGGCATGTCCAGTCAGTCCAGGACTATAAATTCACTTTTAACATTTAATATTTGCAATTTGTAAAGTACCAATTTTTGTTTTAAAATAAGATTTTGTGTCTTAGTCAAATGCCCTGATACACAGACTGTAAACTTTTTACATTAAGAATTGTAAACAAGCATACTAAAATGTTTCCCTTATGTTTATAATTAAAAAGTAAAAATACGTCAATTAATCAACTGGGGGTGGGGCGGAGCAAAAATGGACCCTTCTTGACTTCTGAGCATGAAACCATTCTTAGCAAGTGTTGACTTTGTAAGATTGAGACTACAGCTGCATCTGCCAGTGACATTTCCTGCTGTGTCCTATTTTTTTTTCCTTCTAAAGGATACATTTGTGGTAGCATATACACATGATAATTTTGATGAATCTATTTTAATGGTGCAAACTGAGATATTTTGTTTGTATGCAGCATTTCAGAAAGTCGTCATGCACTGTATTATGAGCTTGCACATGTGCATTTGGAGATGAGTAAATTTTAAAAATATTTAGTTTAAAGTTCACAATGATTTTTACCATTCATGGTGAAGACAGATACACAATCTCATTGGCATGGCAGCATACGTTCATTATGTCAGCATATGTCCATTATGCAGCCAAAAGGCAGACTAAGGTTCAAGAGCAACCACTGAATTCAAGAGCTGTAGGCATTTCTTGGATTTTGAAAAGTGGGGTGCAGATGGTGAGGTGCATCGTCATATATAGGATAACACCTGTTTTTTCTCAAGTTAAAAATAAACTAGAAGTTGTACTAATATGCTGGGGGCTGAGGGCTGTATTATACAGTTTACAATTGAAGCACAAACCAATGCAACTTCATTGGTTGAGTTAAAAACATTTGCAAGGTTGCTCATTAACAGGAGCAGCTAACAGACAGCATTATGGCAGAACAAAGGATAGCCTGGTTGGTGGACCATTAAGACCATTACAAAGAAGAAAAGGTTGTTAACACCTTTGAAATGAAGATTATAATGAACCAAATAGGTCAACTGACTCCTTCAGTGCTGCCTGAGGAGAAATGCTGCTAGCACTGCCAGGCAGTTGGTTCTAAACTTTGGGTGGAGCAGCAATTAATGGTGGGTGCAAGTGCACTCCCCTTGGATCCCTCCCTGCCAACTCCCTGGGCCAAGCAAGACTTATCACGTCAGAGAATAACTGTGACCAACCTCTTGAGGCAAGGACATTGGTTGTGTTGGTCACAAATCTCAGCAGCAATGCTATCCTTCCTAGAGCAAGGAGCTTAACATAAATATTGTGAGTCGAGTTCCTGCTGCCAGCAAAATCAAAGGTTTTCCCTCCCTGAATATGTACCTGCATTTTTTTCCTCCCTGGTCCCCCTTCCCCCACTCCCCATATCTTCTATCTTTTAGTGAAAAAGCAGGAGAAAAGTAGGTTATGAATATGATTGTCACTTGCCGATAAGAGAATGCAAAGTGTTCCCTCTCTGCAACTTCAAGTTCCTCTGTTGTGACCTTTGGAGGTCACAACAGAGCAGGGAGAGCAGCCTTCAAGGGGTGACTCTAGTCCATAAATTGAGAAGAGACAGAGGGATTAACTTTGGTTAGTACAGAGAGGGAAGTAATCTGATACTAAATCTAGACTACTTCCCTCCTGGAACAAATGAGGACCCAGAAAGGGAATTAAATTGAGTAATTTTCATTGGTCTTCCCCTGGGGTAGTCCCTCTTTTTGGCAGGTTGTACAGATAGTCTAATCTCCAGTAGTGTGCTTGATGGTATGTATGGTGTTCATTCATTGAGTATTTGCTTGGCAACAATGAAATTTTTCTGCATATTCCTGAGATTTAGTCTGGATGAAATTGTATCCTTTCCATCACTGAAATGACTCATTTCCTGTAGCATAAATGGCCTGTGAAAAGTCTATTGTTTCACTATGAAAGGGTGAAAATGATTGCCTTTCTGCAAGCCTTCATCACCCAGTTTTAAAATCATTGATGACTTTGTCACTGCTTAAGTGGGCATGTACACAGACACAAACCTTTGTAAGTAGGGTAGAACTGTGCTATCATGCCAGTGAGTTGCTTACTGCTTTAATTTCTTAGGAAGGGAGGAAGGTGAGAAAGGAGTAGGTATAGATGATGAGACATTTTCATGAATACTAAATGCACCAAAAAATCTTTCAACAAATAGTTTTTGTAAAGTTGAGTTCATTACCATATATACATGAACATAGGATGCCTTATCAATACATCGCTTCTATAAATGGACAATCTAGAAATCTGTTATAAGTTTCCAGGTATAGTTTTATAGTTTCATAGTTGGTAGGGTTGGAAGGGATCTAAGGAGATCATCAAGTCCGATCCCCTGCCATGGGCAGGAAAGGGTGCTGGGGTCAAATGACCCTGGCTAGGTGGCTTTCTAGCCTCCTTTTGAAGACCCCCCGGGTAAGGGAGAGCACCACTTCCCTTGGAAGTTGATTCCAGCTCGTAGCCACCCTGACCGTGAAGTAGTGCCTCCTGATATCTAGCCTGAATCTACTCTCAGTCAACTTATGGCCATTGTTCCTTGTTTCCCCTGGTAGTGCTCAGGGGAACAGGAACTCTCCCATTGCCTGCTGGTCCCCCTTGGCAAGTTTATAGGTGGCCACCAGATCCCCTCTCAGCCTTCTTTTGTGGAGGTTGAACAGGTTCAGGACCTTTAG